AGTTCTCCCTCGCTTTCGGCACCCTAGCGTCTCATTGGCTGGTTAGAGGGAGGCTTCGGTAAACGTCTGTTTGTTTGTGAGTTTGTGTCTGCGCTGTGTCTCTCGATCACGTAAAGGTCAGGTGGGTAGGTGTGCCTGGTGTTGCTCGCCCATCATTCTCTTCCTTACACGGCTTCACATTAATTTGGCCGCTTCCCCAGAGTGTGGCGAGACTCTTAAGGTATTAGCATTGGCGCTAACTCCCTTCTGACTCATCTGGCCTGCTGAGTTTACAACTAAGGCTCACTTATCTACAGCATCAAGGCTTGTACATGGGGAGAGAGAAGGAAAGAAGGGTTGTTGGTGTCACATGGGGTGAACGATGCAACCAAATAAGGGGGGTGTCTCATATGAAAAATTCTGACACTTTTTTTCACTTGATTCCTACACGGCCCTGTAAGTCGTGATCGCTCATAATGAATCATCTCTAATGGAGATTGCATTGCAGCAAAACCGGGCTCAATCTCACCAAGCTGAGGTTGCAGTGAATGAAGGGCTCACAGGGATTCACCGCCGCGCGTTCTCTGGGGAAGCGTGCAGCGTTCACACGCTAATAACATGCTCGAGTGAGCAGGTGCAGCTGCTTCTTGGCGAAATAATCTGCAATCATTATGTTGTTATGAAAGGCGTAATCTGACAGAAAACTGATCGTTGAAACAGGCAAGGTTAAAGACTTTATTTGGGTGAGAATCCATATGATATGGAAGGAACAGCTTGTAATTATGACTGTTTTTATGTTGTTTGACTGTTCATTTTATGACTGACTGCACACAGTCGTTTCATGTCTCCATTTTCAAAACGTTTACAACAGTTCATAGATTTAAGGTTAAAATGTATATAAAAAAGATGTATTTCCATTAGTGGACACCAGTCCAGTTGTAGTTTATAAAACATTTATAAATATATTTGTATTTTTGTTGCAATTTATAATCATCTCTCATCATTAGTTGTAAATTTCAAGTCTGAAATTCTGAAATCATATAAACAAACTGAAATTTAGTTAATTGTTCACCAAAAATCTTACCAACTGCTGCTCTGAAATCAATTTATATTTAGTTTGTTTCAATTCTGTTTGTTTCAGATACGTTGTTTCTTTATGTATCTTTTAATAAACACTTGGGGTTCCTCATCATGTAAATATCAATCAATCAATCAATCAATGCCTACAGAATTCATTGAAGTAAACAATATGTTCAAAATTTTATGAATATGCATTGTCAAGTTATGTTATATTACAAAATATTTCATCTACTAGGAACCGATAGACGGTGTCTTTTTGAGATGATAATTATGATGATTGTGAATGAATGGAAAGAGTATAGTTGAAAAATCATGGAATTTTATTGGCCATAATTTTGGAAGCCATGAAGGCTGCATGCATAATAATAAACTGTAAAATGCAGATTATAATACGTTTTAGATGGAGTATAGCAGGCCATCTTACCAAATATATTTAATGTCAACTACCCATACTAAATACAAAATCATGTTGTGTCATGTTATATTTTAACATCCTTAGTTTACTTCAAGACATTTACTGTATACAATAATACAGTAAATGCTTTGGTTTGAATTTGATGGAAACATGAATTATGACTTGGGTGAGCAGATAAAAGCTCCACAAGCTTCTTTGTTTTGGTTTCACCGGTGAGTGGAGCGCTGAAGAAACATGGAGACGCTGCAGAATTATTGATTTTGTTAACCTGCAGTAATCCACAGCTCATTGAACCACTGGGTCAGGACTTTGGGTTATTGCATGGTTTTGTGTGCCTAGAAAAGCGTGAACGTTTCAGTGCCTGCGCTGTGTTTATTAACTAGTGGCAGAAAATATTGTTATAGTGTCTGGATTTCCATTAATGGTTGTTTCCGGAACAATGCATTATATGAGAGGAGAGTTTGTGCACAGCGGGAAGTGTGCAATAATATTGTGGTGTCAATGCAGATGCATTTTGGGACCTGACTCAATGCTGCTTTCAGCAAATTTTCAAAGTGCTATAACAGGCTGCAAAATACAGTGGCTACACAATATATTTGGTCACTTCAGTCTCAAATAAAAAATGTCTAATTGTTACCAGATACAAAAACATCCAAGTGGCATTTGCAAAATAAATAAATAAATTAATTAATTAAATTGTAAACTTTACCCAACATTTTTTCATAAATCTTCAGTTTTACCTTAATACAGAAATGTTTGCTCCGTTTTTTGTTTTGTGTTTTGTTTTGCCTTGTTGTTTGCTCTTTGTTTTGTATAGGTTTTTATTTTGGTTTGTGTTTTACGGTTTTTTGGTTTTGCATTGCATTGTTTGTTTGTTTTTTGTTACGTTTTTATTTGGGTTTTGTGTTTTGTTTGAGTTTTTTTTTTTTTCTTGTTTTTATTTTGGTTGTCTGTTGTTTTGTTAGCATTTTGTTGTGTTTTTTTTCTGTTTTTTTTGGCTTGCTTTTTATGTGCTGTTTTTTTTGGCTTGCTTTTTATGTGCTGTTTTTTTTGGCTTGCTTTTTATGTGCTGTTTTTTTTGGCTTGCTTTTTATGTGCTGTTTTTTTTGGCTTGCTTTTTATGTGCTGTTTTTTTTGGCTTGCTTTTTATGTGCTGTTTTTTTTGGCTTGCGAACAGCTTGTAATTATGACTGTTTTTATGTTGTTTGACTGTTCATTTTATGACTGACTGCACACAGTCGTTTCATGTCTCCATTTTCAAAACGTTTACAACAGTTCATAGATCTAAGGTTAAAATGTATATAAAAAAGATGTATTTCCATTAGTGGACACCAGTCCAGTTGTAGTTTATAAAACATTTATAAATATCTTTGTATTTTTGTTGCAATTTATAATCATCTCTCATCATTAGTTGTAAATTTCAAGTCTGAATTTCTGAAATCATATAAACAAACTGAAATTTAGTTAATTGTTCACCAAAAATCTTACCAACTGCTGCTCTGAAATCAATTTATATTTAGTTTGTTTCAATTTTGTTTGTTTCAGATACGTTGTTTCTTTATGTATCTTTTAATAAACACTTGGGATTCCTCATCATGTAAATATCAATCAATCAATCAATCAATCAATCAATCAATCAATCAATCAATGCCTACAGAATTCATTGAAGTAAACAATATGTTCAAAATTTTATGAATATGCATTGTCAAGTTATGTTATATTACAAAATATTTCATCTACTAGGAACCGATAGACGGTGTCTTTTTGAGATGATAATTATGATGATTGTGAATGAATGGAAAGAGTATAGTTGAAAAATCATGGAATTTTATTGGCCATAATTTTGGAAGCCATGAAGGCTGCATGCAAAATAATAAACTGTAAAATGCAGATTATAATACGTTTTAGATGGAGTATAGCAGGCCATCTTACCAAATATATTTAATGTCAACTACCCATACTAAATACAAAATCATGTTGTGTCATGTTATATTTTAACATCCTTAGTTTACTTCAAGACATTTACTGTATACAATAATACAGTAAATGCTTTGGTTTGAATTTGATGGAAACATTAATTATGACTTGGGTGAGCAGATAAAAGCTCCACAAGCTTCTTTGTTTTGGTTTCACCGGTGAGTGGAGCGCTGAAGAAACATGGAGACGCTGCAGATTTATTGATTTTGTTAACCTGCAGTAATCCACAGCTCATTGAACCACTGGGTCAGGACTTTGGGTTATTGCATGGTTTTGTGTGCCTAGAAAAGCGTGAACGTTTCAGTGCCTGCGCTGTGTTTATTAACTAGTGGCAGAAAATATTGTTATAGTGTCTGGATTTCCATTAATGGTTGTTTCCGGAACAATGCATTATATGAGAGGAGAGTTTGTGCACAGCGGGAAGTGTGCAATAATATTGTGGTGTCAATGCAGATGCATTTTGGGACCTGACTCAATGCTGCTTTCAGCAAATTTTCAAAGTGCTATAACAGGCTGCAAAATACAGTGGCTACACAATATATTTGGTCACTTCAGTCTCAAATAAAAAATGTCTAATTGTTACCAGATACAAAAACATCCAAGTGGCATTTGCAAAATAAATAAATAAATTAATTAATTAAATTGTAAACTTTACCCAACATTTTTTCATAAATCTTCAGTTTTACCTTAATACAGAAATGTTTGCTCCGTTTTTTGTTTTGTGTTTTGTTTTGCCTTGTTGTTTGCTCTTTGTTTTGTATAGGTTTTTATTTTGGTTTGTGTTTTACGGTTTTTTGGTTTTGCATTGCATTGTTTGTTTGTTTTTTGTTACGTTTTTATTTGGGTTTTGTGTTTTGTTTGAGTTTTTTTTTTTTCTTGTTTTTATTTTGGTTGTCTGTTGTTTTGTTAGCATTTTGTTGTGTTTTTTTTCTGTTTTTTTTGGCTTGCTTTTTATGTGCTGTTTTTTTTGGCTTGCTTTTTATGTGCTGTTTTTTTTGGCTTGCTTTTTATGTGCTGTTTTTTTTGGTTTGCTTTTTATGTGTTGTTTTTTGTGCGTGTTTTTTTTTATTTTGTTTTTTTGCTTATGATTTTGTTTGCCTTTGGTTTTGTTGTTTTGTGTTTTTGTTATTTTGTTTTTTATTTTGGTTTGTGTTTAATGTTTTGCTTTGCGTTGTTGCTGTTGTTGTTGTTTGTTTTTATTTTGGTTTTGTTTGCTCTTTTTGTGTTGTTTTTTTTGTTTTGTGTTTGTGTGTGTGTTTTTGTTTTTTTTGTTTGGTTTTGTGTAGTTTTTTATATTGGTTTGTCTTTATTGTTGTTAATTTATTTGTTTTGATTTATTTTAAATCAAACTTTTTGTCTAAACATTAGTTTCACTTGTAGTTTATGGACATATATTTTCTTGCACAAGTGTTCACAGTGCAAATGTCTCCACTTACAATATGTCTCCAGAATTAAGAGACAAGTCTGTAAATGTAGTTTGACAGCTCCATTCAATCAGTCTGTCAATCATAAATCTGAACTGTCAATCTCAAATGTCTTCACCTCGCAGGGGTTGCAGACAGGGACGCGGGAGCTTGAGGAGATGGGAATGAAGTTCGGCCAGAGTCTTCTCACCCTCAGGAGGAACGCCATCCATTATAACAGCCGTCTGATCCACCACGCATCTGCCCTGTTGGACTTGGACGACAGGCTTCTCGACCACAAATCCAATAAGTGAGTTTTAAATGAACGTATTTTGACCGCAGACACATCTAGGGCTTCAAAACTCATCAAAATAGACCACAATAAAAAGTTTTTCTAAATCAAAGGTTTATAGTCAATACTTTAAAATAGTGCTTCTCAACTGGGTTTGCTTAAGATACAGATACTTTAAATTTGCAAATACCGCAATTATTTACCGCAATCTAATTAGACACATGGCCTTTAACAAAATGTTAAAACAAAAGATATCTGAATAATTTTCTGCTCCTTTTTAAATAAGACTGTTAATTTAAAAGATAAATCTGTATTTTATTATTGGAATTTAGCATACTAACAAACACTTTTTGTTATTATGTGCACATTCAGCAGGCCTTGTGGGGTTTATATTCGATAACTATAATTGTCTGTAAATATATTATGATAACGATTCTGCTTCGGTGGAGCAGAATGGAAATAAGAGCTAGATGTACATTTCCTGAAGGAATAAGCCCACAGCAGCAAAGGAATAGCATTAACGTTTTTGTTGAAATTATCATTTGGAAAGTTGGAAGTTGATGGAGGTTCTTCAGTTATGGTTCACTTTTTATTATTATTTGAGCCAGATGTTTGATAAAAACCAAAGGAAGTCTATAATAACCAGAGAAAGCAATCCTTTAGTATTGCCATTCATATGTGGCACTTGTGATTATTTTATATATTGATTTCATATTTTATTATTTTGTTAACATTTAATATTAATATTAAGTTTCATTGTTTCAAGTCAGGTTTATTATGTTTCAAGTTTATTTTATTATTTTATACAATGGCTGTCAATAGAGCATCAGTGTAAATCTTTGGGAGATTAAACAGTTTTATCTTAGATTATTAGGAATTTTATTGGCCATAATTTTGGAAGCCATGAAGGCTGCATGCAAAATAATAAACTGTAAAATGCAGATTATAATACGTTTTAGATGGAGTATAGCAGGCCATCTTACCAAATATATTTAATGTCAACTACCCATACTAAATACAAAATCATGTTGTGTCATGTTATATTTTAACATCCTTAGTTTACTTCAAGACATTTACTGTATACAATAATACAGTAAATGCTTTGGTTTGAATTTGATGGAAACATTAATTATGACTTGGGTGAGCAGATAAAAGCTCCACAAGCTTCTTTGTTTTGGTTTCACCGGTGAGTGGAGCGCTGAAGAAACATGGAGACGCTGCAGATTTATTGATTTTGTTAACCTGCAGTAATCCACAGCTCATTGAACCACTGGGTCAGGACTTTGGGTTATTGCATGGTTTTGTGTGCCTAGAAAAGCGTGAACGTTTCAGTGCCTGCGCTGTGTTTATTTACTAGTGGCAGAAAATATTGTTATAGTGTCTGGATTTCCATTAATGGTTGTTTCCGGAACAATGCATTATATGAGAGGAGAGTTTGTGCACAGCGGGAAGTGTGCAATAATATTGTGGTGTCAATGCAGATGCATTTTGGGACCTGACTCAATGCTGCTTTCAGCAAATTTTCAAAGTGCTATAACAGGCTGCAAAATACAGTGGCTACACAATATATTTGGTCACTTCAGTCTCAAATAAAAAATGTCTAATTGTTACCAGATACAAAAACATCAAAGTGGCATTTGCAAAATAAATAAATTAATTAATTAATTAAATTGTAAACTTTACCCAACATTTTTTCATAAATCTTCAGTTTTACCTTAATACAGAAATGTTTGCTCCGTTTTTTGTTTTGTGTTTTGTTTTGCCTTGTTGTTTGCTCTTTGTTTTGTATAGGTTTTTATTTTGGTTTGTGTTTTACGTTTTTTTGGTTTTGCATTGCATTGTTTGTTTGTTTTTTGTTACGTTTTTATTTGGGTTTTGTGTTTTGTTTGAGTTTTTTTTTTTTTCTTGTTTTTATTTTGGTTGTCTGTTGTTTTGTTAGCATTTTGTTGTGTTTTTTTTCTGTTTTTTTTGGCTTGCTTTTTATGTGCTGTTTTTTTTGGCTTGCTTTTTATGTGCTGTTTTTTTTGGCTTGCTTTTTATGTGCTGTTTTTTTTGGCTTGCTTTTTATGTGCTGTTTTTTTTGGCTTGCTTTTTATGTGCTGTTTTTTTTGGCTTGCTTTTTATGTGCTGTTTTTTTTGGCTTGCTTTTTATGTGCTGTTTTTTTTGGCTTGCTTTTTATGTGCTGTTTTTTTTGGCTTGCTTTTTATGTGCTGTTTTTTTTGGCTTGCTTTTTATGTGCTGTTTTTTTTGGTTTGCTTTTTATGTGTTGTTTTTTGTGCGTGTTTTTTTTTTTTGCCAAACATTTAACTTTTTATATTAAAAACAAACAAACAAGCCCAGTCCAGATGAGAGAATGTAACACAAAATTAATGTAACACATTACCTTCCATAAAAAGTAACTAAGTAATGCAGGTAGTTACTTTTCTTAGGGAGTAATGAAAATATTGTAATGCATTACTTTTTAAAAGTAACTTTCCCCAACACTGAAAATAAATAAATGTAATGCTGAAATTATCTACAAAACGAGTTGTAGATGGAGTAAATTAGGTAGTTTGGAGCTGAATTAATTGCAGAAATGTGCGATAAGATGAACTACATGAGAGTAAATGTAAATATAAATTTTAGCAGTTGGTTTTGGATTAATAAAATGCCACGTTAGAGGTGTTTTGTTGTTGTCATGACCATTCTCGTTTTCTGTCTGTGGCTTGTGTTCAGTCTGTACATGGCTAGTTATGCGAGAATTCAGTATGCAAATAAAAGCAAGAAAGATGATTATTTGCAATTCAGTGTGCAAACAGAACAGTGACGTAATTTCTTTCAGTTCGGTGTTGTATAGTACTGTAAAATAGAATGAAGGATATCTGTACAGTAGTGCTTTCTAAGCTTTGTACCACGTTATAATATTAGCATAATGAGATTACTGACAAAGTTACCTTGTTAGTGACCTTTAAGAGTCATATTTCAGGGTCGCTGTTGCCAAGTCAGGCTGCCATTTTACTCTGGCTTTTTAAATATGATCTTGAGCTGTGGGACGTGGACAGAGATTCATTCAGAGTGCATCAGCTGCCTTTCAAGTTTTCAATTTGCCACTAAAGGGGTTTCCTGGGAGCACTGCCACTTTCTCTGTTTTCCTTTAGTCTCTCCATCTCCGTTCTTCTCTCTCCCCTCTCCCTCTATTTTCCATTCCCCAGCATCCTCAAGTTAGAGTCTTGATTTCTGTCATGGAATGAAATGGACCAAAGCTGAGCTATTGATTTCTACGAAGTTCAATTAAATCCCTTTTGTGTGCGTTTTGAATTGTTACATCTTGTCCACACAGAGCGCTCAGTGTTCTGAGGAGATCATCCCACCCCTCTCTCTTCTCAAGGATTTCACAACGTTTCTATTGTTCCCCTCATCTTCATATTACTGAAGAGAAAACGGTAAACTTGACTGGTCGTACCCGAGAGTGTTGCATAACTGAATTATACGCAACTGCAGAATGCTGCTTACGAGCCTTGTCTGATTCAGCTCAGCTCTTCTTAGATGGATGTAGAATACAGCTCATCTTTTTTTTACTGACATAGACAAACACACTTTTAATATGAAACAAGAACAAGGTATTTGGTCAGCATTTAACAATTCATGTAACATTAGATGGATGGATGGATGGATAGATAGATTAATTGATAGGCCAATATTATATTTATTTATCTGAATATTTATTTTATATTTATTTTAATGTAGTATGTATTCTGTATTTCTATATTTGTTTATTTTTGTATTTGTTCATTTATTTATTTTTTTAGTATTTATTAGTTTATTTTTGTTTATTTCAGTGGCACCATCCCTGTAACCATACATAGGACAAACTGTTTGGTAAATGGGTGGATAAATGTTTATTTTTATATTTCAGTTTTTCATTTATATTTTTTATAGTTATTATTTTGTATATTTATATATTTTTATTCAAATTTCTTATTTTTTATTTCATTCTACATTTAAATTGATTATTCATTATTATTTATTTATTTATTTATTTATTCATTTTTATTCTACATTTAAATACCTTAGCCATCATCTATTGTGCACTCAGTTTGTGTCTTTTTAATAACAAGAATTTATTAACATTGATAAGTATATCTCTAAATATCCTTAGCAGGTTTTACATTGAATTATGTATTTATTTATTTATTGCTGTATATTATATAATATTGTAAATTTATTTACAATATTTTTTTATTTAAATATTAAAAATGTATTTAGACAAAATAGTAAAAAAAAAATTTAGGCCAATAACATGCAAATAATTATTGGCGGATAAGGACTGCCCCAAAAGAACATCTTTGAGTGGAAATGGGTTCATAAAACAATAAATAATGGACAAGTCAATTGTATTTAAAGGTTAGAGTTAAGTCTGCGGTCACTACATTTAAAGGGGTCATATGATGCAATTTCAATTTTTCCTTTCTCTTTGGAGTGTGACAAGCTCTTGGTGCATAAAGAAGATCTGTAAAGTTGCTAAGACTAAAGTCTCAAATCCAAAGAGATATTCTTTATAAAAGTTAAGAATCAACCACGCCTACCTAAAACGGCTCGTTCTAACACGCCCCCACATATCTACATCACGATGTGGGAAGATTTGCATAACGCCACCCAAATGTTCACGCAAAGAAAGAAGGCGTAACTTTTATTCTCGCTGTAGTATTGTTGTTGCCACCGCCGCCATGTCGTGAAGACGCTGTTATTCATTGTGAAAGCGAAACCACTTTGTTTGGCCTTCCAAAAGAGGACGATATCCACTTTGTCATGCCTGGAGCTGATCCGTGCTGGTCGCTGAGGAAATAGATCAACTTCGTGCTGTGGAGTCCAGCCCGGGGTCGTCACATGTGGTTGCCGAAAAGCCCGCTGAACGCTCTTTTGTCGAATCCGCTGTGTGTCACACTGTGTTTCGTTATGAAAGAGAAACTACTTTGTTTGGCCTTCCAAAAAGGGACACGACTAGAAATCAGTGGTTAAGTTGTATTTACAACACTGT